CATGAAGCCGAGGAACTTGCCTGACTTCACGCCGAAGACACATTTCTTCGGATTCAGCTTCATTTTGTATTTTCTGAGGGTGGCGAAGGTTTCGGCTAGGTCCGTGACATGATCTTTTTCTTTTATGCTTTTGACGATTGAGTCGTCAACATAAACCTCCATGTTTCGGCCTTTTTGCTCGGCGAAAACCTGATCAACCAACCTCTGATATGTTGCCCCCGCATTTTTCAATCCGAAGGGCATCATTCTGTAATTGTACAACCCGGAACTTGTTATGAACGCTGTTTTAGCTCGGTCCTCGGGGTGCATGAAGATCTGATGGTATCCCGAGAATGCGTCCATGAAACTGAGCAGAGCATGCCCGCTTGTCGAGTCGACCAGTTGGTCGATCCTCGGCAGCGGATAGGAGTCCTTGGGACATGCCCTATTCAGGTCCGTGAAGTCAACGCACATCCTCCAGTTACCATTTGCCTTCTGAACCATTACAACATTGGCCAGCCACTCCGGATACTGACAGGGTTCAATGAACCCAGCATCTAGGAGCTTATCGACCTCAGCTGCGATGTTCTGGTTCTTTTCGGCGGAGTAGTTCCGCTTTTTCTGCTTAATGGGTCGACTGGAGGGGTCGACATTAAGCCTATGGGAGACGAAGTCCGGATCAATCCCGGGCATTTCTGCGGCTGAGAAGGCGAACACGTCTCCACTGGCCCGTAGGAGTTGGACGAGTGCCGCACGGGTGTTTGGCTCCAGTGACGACCCGATGCTAACACATCTGTTCGGATCTCCTACGGTCAGTTCTATTGACTCGGTCAGGTCATCCGTCTCCATGCTCTTAGAGTTGGATTCCTCGAATTCCGGCCTGCTATCAATATTAGCAGACTTTCCTGACCGCGGCTGGCCATCAGAGTCGTTCGGCTCTGAGGCGGAGTCAGCCTTTTGGCCCCCATCAGATTTCTCGTTGTCTGGGGCTTCATTAGCCGAAACGTCTGAGCCTCTCGGCTTTTTGGCGTTTCGGTCCCGGTGCTTTTCCTCCCCATCGCCACGGTCGCCTCGGCGAGACGTGGATGGCTTGAGGTGATTGCATCGGCGGGCTTCTTTTTGACTGCCCTTTATTTTCTCGGAGCGTCCCTCGTCTGAAACGTATATCATGATTTGATGATACGTGGAGACGACTCCTTGAATGCCGTGAATGAGGGGTCTCCCCATGATCACGTTGTATGCAGATGGAGCATCTACGACCAAAAATTCGGCCATGATATTCCTAGCTGCTCGGCCTTCGCCGATGGTGACAGGAAGTGTAATCTTCCCGTCAGGATACGAGGAAGAGCCGTTGAATCCAGACACCGGGTAGGGTGCGGGGGCCAGGTGCTCGGCTCCCATCCTCAGCTGGTCGAACGCTCCTCGGAAGAGGATGTTCGCCCCGCTACCGCCGTCGACGAGGGTCCGCCAGACGTTGCGGTTGGCGATGCCCAGAATGATTACTAGTGGGTCATCGTGGGGGTATACCACCCCCTCACAGTCTTCGGCTGTGAACAGGATGTTCGGCGCCGGTGACTGGGACTGCCGAAGCTCAGCCTGATGAATCTGATGGGTTAGACCCCTCAGTTGGCGTTTGGCTGTGCCTCGCGAGATTCCCCCGGAAATAACTAGGATGTCGAGGGACTCCTTGCCCTGAGGTCCCTTATCCTTCTTCCGAGCGAAGTTGAGGTCCTGCCGAGAATCTTTTTCAGCTTTTTTCTCCTCGCGCCTGTCCGCGAGGTATTGGCTCAGGTACCCCTTGCGGACCAGATCCTCAATCTGGTCCTTCAGCTGGACGCAGTCCTCGGTGCGATGTCCGGGTGAGTCATGGAACTCGCACCACTGGTCCTTTCCCCTCGTCTGATGCCAGGGAGGCAACGGACGAGGTTTTTTGAATCTCCCCTCGTCCTTCGTCGTGCTGAAAATCTTAGCACGGGGAAGGGAGAGTGGAGTGTATGAATCGTACCTTCCCGTGTAGGGAAAGTGTCTTTCCTTCTTCGGCTCGGCAGCAGAGGACGGTTCTGAGGCCTTAGCCTTCCCTTTCCTCTGTGCCGAGACTTCGGGCTGCTGCCCTTTCGGCATCTCAATTCTCGGACGAGACTGAGACCTGGATCTGTTCCACTCCTCGGCTCGGATGAACCTATCCGATGCTTCCAAGGCTTCCTCCAGGGTCTGCGGGGGATGCATGACCATGAAGTCCAGGAACTTTCCAGCTTGGAGGCCGTTCCGTAGCGCGAACACGGCCAGGCCTTGATCCAGGCTTGTGATTCCGGATGACTCGTTGCTGAAGCGAGTCAGATAGTCGCGGAGGCTCTCGTCCTCCGCCTGCTGCAGACTCATTAGCTCTGCAGTGGTCTTCTCTCGGCGGTTGGCCGTAGAGAATTTGCTCTTGAACTTGTTGGAGAGGTCGTTCCAACCGGTTATGGAGCCTTCCTTGAGCCCTTTGGTGATCCAGGATTGGGCAACACCTTTGAGGGTCGTAGGAAAGTATTTACACCAGGTAGCCTCAGACCTCGGGTTCAGATACATGTGCCCCTCGTAAGAGGCAATGTGATCCTTAGGATCTGAGGTACCATCGTAAGTAATATGTGCCGGGATTTTGACCGTTGGCACATGCTCTTCCAGAATCCACTTCTGGAAGGGCGAGTTCGATGGAACCATGACCGCCTTCCCCTTGTACCCGGCCTCAGGGACCTCGCTCCCTCCTCTCTCAGAGGTGGAAGTGGTTTTCGTCCCCGGCTGAGACAAGGTTGGGTGGGGTCCGGTATCCTCTGGGAAGGTGAGGCGGCTATGCACACTCACCTCCCTCGAACCCAAGCGTTCATGAACGCTTTGGCGGGCGAATTCCGGGTCCTTGGAGGGCCCCATGGAATTCTGAGCTTCGGAGTGGTCAGAGGGTTGAGGGTTCCTCCTCCTCTCCTTACTGGAGTTTCGGGTGTCCCCTCGCCACCTCTGGCCGAGCTGTCTATGTGGTGGAACTTGTCCACCATCATCCTGACCGATCCTCCTTTTCAGGTTTCTCGGCTGGTGATCATCAGGCATCTGGATTGGAGCCCCTTGAGCTTTAAGGAACTCCATGCAGATGGCCACTGCTCTGGCCACTTCCTCGGTGGAGGGTCCGGAGGGAGGAGTCTCCCGCGGATGTGACCTGGATTGCACGCTATGGCGCGGCGGGGAGTTCCTCGCTCCTGAGCCACTCGGTCTCGGGGATGGCCCCGGCTGCCGAGTGTGGTGCGAGGTGTTCTCCTCCTGGAGGCTAGGACCTCTTGAGGCTTCCCTTTCCGGAGAAATGGGGGCCTCCGATTCGGAAGAGGCTTGCTCCGGGGAGGGATAAACCGGCTGGCGTTCCCTCACCGTAATCCGGCCTCCTCCCTTCTTAGCCTTCTTGGAACTCCTTCCACTCTTAGTCATGGCGACTGCCGGAGTGTTTGATGACTGACGCGAAATTTAGTAGCATTCCCCACAGACGGCGCCAAATTGTTTCGGATGAAAACAATCGAATCTCGGAAGATCCTTTTATCTTGAGGGAACTTGGTCTCGGTCCGAACGACGCAGGAGCCGAGGGTTTCCTGCACAACAAATACACGTAAACTAGCCTCGGGGGGGACGCCGAGGAAGGCCCCTCCGATGCTTAAGTCAGTATATTAGAGAGAGAAAGCTGTGCAAGAGTTTAGTTGCTTGAGGCTTTATTGTCTTACCAAGAATTGACCAAATTGTTGGCTTTTATACCTTGGCTAATGAAGGAGGCGGATTGGGCCCGGAAGTCAGTTGGGCTGGGCCAAGCTGATTGGGCCGTTGACTGACCTTGACATGGCTTTGAGGATGTTTGATTTTTGACTTTAGCACATTTGGAGAGTTGAACCTTAACCTTGGGCTTTTAATTGGATCATTCAGTGACCAGGCCCAATTGGACTAAATTGGACCCAAACATAAATTATGATTTTTATGATTTATGATAATGATTATGATTTGATCATGATGATCATGCAACAAAATTATTCAGATAATTAGCAAAGTTGCCAAAGTACATAGAGGGTTAACTACAATGATCATGTTCTTTCATTATATATTATTTTTCTCTCTTATTTGCAGTTTTGTTCATCTCTTTTAGACTCTCAGCTCGGTCGCCCACCCTCTCCCTCATTCATTTATAAGCTGTATAGTATTATAGATTTAAGTTTCACGAGTATACAATTTAATAGTCACGGTGATAGCATAATTTACTTAATAAAGCTGTATACGTGACAACTAAATCTAGATAATGGGAGTATTTGAATTATAAAAAATAAAAATAAAAAAAACTAGATAATGTAGTAGTAATTTTAGATTATTGAACTGTGTATGCCTATTATGGTCAATTTTTTGTGTTAAGGAAAATGAATTTGGTAATGCATTGACCCTGTAATTAAGTGCTACCTTTTAACTATTTAAATTACTTATGCTTTGAGTTTTTCTGTATATATGCACTTGACTTTAGTACTATTAAAAACTATAATTTTACCTTTATTTACGAAGAATGTTGTAGCAAGAAGCCACACACTACTTTGTGTACATGGATTTGCTAAATGTGTAATTTATACGTCAAATAAAATTCATGAAAATACAAATTTTAAATAAAATATAGACCTGACAAAGCTGACTCATACCCTATTATCATCTTAATTGGCCAAACTAATTTTTAATAACCCGCAAGTTTTTTTTTTTCATAACAAATGGATACAAATTTACTTGAATTGACCCATACCCTAGTATTAGGTATAACATCTTTCACAAACTGTGAACTTAAAGACTTTAATAAATTAATGGACTACAAATAGTCAAATAATCAGTTTTGTGCACATCATTTCTTTTTACACTTGGTTAGTAAAGCTTACTACATGATCAATTATATTTTGTAAAGTTTGTAAAATAAATCATGCAAACATGCCAATAAAATAAAATAAAATAAAATAAAATAAACTCCATGATATATACATACGTACTTGGCAACTCCCATGGCTCAAACTGATAAAGATCAATTTCAGGGATTATTTCCAAGTCAATCTTATGACCATTGATCTTCCTCTTGAGGTAGTAAGCCACCAACTCTTCATCTGTTGGGTGAAACCGAAAACCGGGTGGTAATGCAACAGGTGCCATTAATCACACAACCACCCGGCAATACTTTATGTAGCGTATATTATGGTATGGGTTCAGTGGGTTCAGCTAACTTAGTTTCAGTGTCTTCTTCACTTACATCTAGAAAACCGACGTAAAAAAGCTGAGAAAGGAAAGAGAGAGGAGTATATGAGTAGAGGAAGCAGGAAAGCTTATGTAAGGAAGATACATTGTGATATAAAACAAAAAGAAAGAGATGTAAAACAAAAAGAAACCTAAAGAAACAAAAAGAAAATAAAGCAACTTCAATTCTTCCTACTATATATTCTTAAATATTAATTTGCTCTTTTTTCTCTGTTGTTAATATCTTATTAACTAGTTTTTATGATTCTTGTTATCGTTCACTTGAAGCTCTCTCGCTTTCTCTCTCTAAAAAAAAAACACACATTGTTGATCCCATGCTTGAGTTATGTCCTTTGGTATTATTATGGAATCAACCAAAGGTAAGACTTAGCTTAGCCACGTGGTTATGTTGGTATGTATTCGATCGTCGTCTTTCGCTCTCTATGATCGAATTCAGATCTTTTATCTCTCAGATGATCTGCTAAAGAGTTCTTTTTGCGTTCATTCACACAGATTTATATGACTAATTTGTACTCTTGATGATGTTAAAAGTAACATGAGTCTACGTAATTATGAACATGAAAGTCTGTTAACTTGCCTCTTTTTGTCCTGCTACACTCTCTTTCCTTTATCCAAAATATATCTTATGTTTGGTATCAGATTTTATATTAGATTGCCGACACTTTAGTATCATCATATCTAGGTGATAATTAAACATTCGTATAAGATAAAATATATTATATTAATTAGCTCGAATCGGGTTTAATTTGTTAATTAATCTCTTTTAGTCTGTAATAATCACGAGGAGCAAGCATTGTTGTAACTTGTAAAGACATTACCTAGTTAGCCAAAGATAAGCGTAGGATACGGCGATATAAGCGTAGGATTGGCCTGGTTCATCCTTCATTTGTCTCAAATGTCTTGTATGATGAGTTGGCAACTTGATCTACTTAGACTAATTATGGAATAAACATCATGTATGTCTAGGGTGATAGTGAGCCGAGCTTAAGTTTGGGGTTGATTATTTCCTAACATGTACATGATTCAGGATTTTGTTTCATTTGGTTATGGACTTACATTCAAATCAAATTGAACTCAAGTCGAGTTTTGGACCTTTCCTGATTGATTTCAAAGTTTAACTTGTGTAAATTATGAATTTGGTTATATAAATCATGAACAATTTATTATTCTCACTTGCAATGTTTCTAATTCATGCATACGAGTGCATCTTGTCGCATAGCCTTTAATTTCTATATGCATTTGTTGCATATAGGAGGGTAAAAGTGGAAAAGCACATTCAGAATGGTACTTTTTATAGTGTCAATTGTACATTATTGTACTATTATACATGTATATTGTACAATTTATGTTTTAGTAGTACTATTATATCTCACAGTAGTGTAATATTTTGATGTACCATTTACATACTTATTGTACTATTAGCATAATATTTATACCACTACAACATTTAATGACACTATTTATCTATTAAATAGTACTTTATACTCCCACTACAAGTTCAACTTTATTACTACATTGTCATCTATGGAATGTTTGCATAGAGGAGTTATGTGCTAGACCTTAACCCTAGTTGCACATATATTGCTTGTGAAGTATGGGAAAAAAAAAAAAAAAAAACCAATAGTACGAAGTATATAACTTTTGTATGATAAAGTATTTGGTAATTGTTTTTTGTAAGAGATCAGAATTGAGAAAGTACATTTGTTTGATTAATGTGAGGTTTTTATGTTTTTTTTTTTTGGGGGGGGGGGCGGGGCGGAGGAGAGCGGCAGGGACCCAAGGAAGACATGAGAGGGTTGTATTGCCTAGTGGTACAACCGTCGAATGAGATAATTTCTAGGAGAGAACGAGGGGATAGTTATTGCTCATCTGTTTTAATTGCTTTCCCAAGCAAGCCGTAATTGTTTCAATGTCTCTTTCGGCTTTATTAAAGAAACACGTTGAGATAATTCTTTTCCCTATAATTTTTTTAGTAAGGGGTAGGACCATTTCACGCAGAGAATTTTAGTGGATGTAAATATCTTGAAAATCACACTGCGAAAAACACCCATGACTCTTAATGTATAACTATTAACTATACAATACACAGCTTGTACAGTTTAACTGGCTGTATTTAGCAAACACATATACGAATCAGAGAGCTATACAAGGTCGGCTCGTGTAGCACCTTCAGTCCTTAACCTTGTCGTTTGATTCACCCCTCGTTTTCTCAAGTGAGTCATGCAAACGATACATGGAAGAAAGGGGAGTCTTTAACGGGAAACCATCTAAGTAAAACAAGGTTACTTTTTTCTCAAAAAAAAAAAAAAGGTTACTTTGTTATGTACAGACTATTGTGCTTTACAGATTGCATACGTAAACAAAGAATGCAAGGGTGCGTAAACTAAATTAACCAACGTGGGAAACCACAAGGCCAGCTGAGCGACATATACAGAAGTTAACCAGTCTATGTAAAGCAACGATTATATGGCGAAGGCTAGTGATGGATCAAATACACACATATGTGAAGGTAGTGATCTGGGTTCATTAGGTTGTTAACTACCCAAGAGAAAGGGATCTCGGGTTTTGGCTTGATACCTTGAATTCGAATGAGCTTGATCTCAGCACTTTCTGATGGCTGTTTCGCCTCAGTACGTTCACTGACTGATGCAGTCACCTCTTCTGTAATTTTTGGGTCACCAGCAACTTCTGGATGCACGTCTTGAACCTCCTCCTCAATTGTTTTCTCACCGTTGAGTGTCCCTTCTCCAAAGTACTCTGGCAGGAGAGTCTTCATAGCATCAGTTAAAGTAAAGCATTTTCCTGCAGTGATTCACATTTTGAGTATTTCGTCTCCAGGAAAAAGGACATCTAAGTAACCATTACATACACGCCTATAAATTATTCTACTGATATATAAGGTCAGAAATCCAAGCAAAGGCCCATCAAAGAAAATCTCTAAGCATCTCAGCAACGTATGATGGTAGTCAGTTTTCAGCTATACTCCCAAGTATATTGCATAGCAATTGGCGCCTATATAGTCAAATGCAGAACCATGGTGAACAACCAAGTCAACAGTTCCCATTAAGTGCTTAATCAGACTTCGTCAAGAACTGCCGTGATTTCAGAATCAGCACAAATAAAATATTCAAAACCATTGTAACATTTTTATGCTCAGTAAAAATGCAAGAAAGCTCAAATGCTTTCTTCATAATTCAAAGGAGAATTCAACCTGATAGTATCAAATGAATGATATTGTCATTTGCCGGTAATCAGAAGAAATCACAGAGTTGCCAAACATGACATGGGAAACAGAAACAGAAAATAAACATGATTAATGACTGTCTGAGGGCATGCAGTACAACTTGTAGAATTAAAACAGTAGTTGGCATATTTCACACAATGGATTTATTAGACATCCTAAATGACCACATCACCAGACAATTAGAGTTTTATCGTCTTAAGAAAAGGGGCTGGTCAGGATTCAAGAATTTGATCTACTAGTAATGTCCTTAATTTAAAGACATGAAATTTATACTGACCTTCATCTTTATTGAGTCCAACGGGTCTGTTTATGTAAGAAATTTTCTCCCAGCTGTCAATCTCAGGAGCCTTTTCCAAGTCATCAAACATCTCGGTGAAAATCCTAACATACAACCGTACTGGAATCCTACCTGCCATAATTGGTCAAACATGGCTTTTGAAATTGTACCAGAGAGGAACAAAGAAAAGAAAAATTTATCCAAAAGGTACCATAAATCTCAATTCATCCTAATTCATACTATCTGGCACAAGAACAACTTATACTCAATATAGTTTTTCATGTATATCAATGCAACATTTCTGGCAATTTATGCAATACTTTTGCCAGTTTTTAACATTAACGCAACAATTATCAACATAATACATGTGTGTAGCCTCTAAGACTCTTTTAAGGGAATGCAAAATGTAGAATTTGGTGAAAGGGAAATTCACCCTGAAAAGAACGAATTTCAAATTACTCAAAGTTAGCATAACATATACCAATTGCCCAAACAAGAGCACAGAAATCTCAATGAAGATTTTAAAGCAGCCTTTAATGAAGAAAAGTACATTCGTAAAACAGTTTCCTATGGAACATGAGTTTGTTAGTCATTTCTCAATGTGTGCTATGATATTAAAGGGAGGGTCAACTTAGTTGCAGACTTGCAGTATGATCTTGTGGCTTGGCTATAAGCTTGGAGACAAGAGAGAATCATGATGAACATTGATGAGACTTCTCGTTAAGTTTTAATTTGTATTTTGGAAGGGAGAAAGTCTCTCGGATGCTTATGCTCATAGGTTATACAGTTAATTATTCACATTTTCAGATCATCAATCATAAGCACTGTCATTATGCACTAAAATCAACATCACTAAATAGGTCTAATTATGTCAGTTCATAAACAAGTTGTGGGTCACTTTATGTGACCCTCATTTGTAAACAGCAACAGTTTCTTCATTAAAACTACTCAGAAACCACAGCCCGGGGGGGGGGGGGGGGGGTGGGGGGTTGTACCCCATCAATGGATAATGTTAAGATTTTCAAGTCTTGGATGGTTGTTAGCATGTATATTTGAACACGGGTCTAAGAAAGTGTTCTCTTCACTTTATTTCAGGTTTTCCTTGTCTGAATATTCTAAGCTCAGGTCTGATTTATATTTATGATCGAACTCATTATCCTAATATTGTCTAATCTCTCTGAAATTTTCTGATCTAGCCTGATCTAATCTGGTTTCAACAAGAATAAGTTTTAAAAATAAGGTAAAGAGAACTGAGTTTTCATGGAAATAACTATACAGCTAAATCTGGGCTGAAAAATCTGCTCTGCCCATGTTAAAAGCATCCATTTGCCTACCAATATACATCTATTACTGCCATTTTCTTGGATAATTACAAAAAAAATTGATGTTTCGGACATTGCTCTGGACAGTAAGCGTGAAATTTTGGTAGAGAATCCTTGGTGAATATGATTTTTTGTTCATTTAATAATCATCTATAGGCTCATGAATGACCATCATCATTTGTCTCCAAAGTTGTCAGTGATAACTATTTTGTTTTCCTCCTAACTTTTTTTTTTTTTTGAATAGTGTTTTCCTCCTAACTTAGCTATGTCTAAAAGGTGGAAAATATAAGAAAGGAGATCCAACTTCCTTGACAAGTTTGTTTCGCTCTCTATTTAACTACAGAGGGTCAAAAGCAGAAGTCATGCAAGTAAGTTCAGGACAGTTATATGATGCACTAGGAAAGTAGGGATGATCCCTTATGGAGTCGTAAGAGTTTGTGTATAGATAATACAATTTGAAAATTTTAGGCAGGCTTGAAGTACAGAACTACCTGTTGTGGCAAGTCCGGGATTATCTGTATTACCGGTATCAGATGAGGATTTTAACGATGGATACAGTTTTGCTGTGTAATCATCTTCAATGGCTCCTAGCTTCAGCTTTAATGTCACCTTAAGGAAGGACTCCAAATTGCCTGATACAACCAGATAGGTAAACTATTGATGCACAAACACAAATTCTGTAATGAATTAGAAGATGATAAGCTCAAAAGAGAAAGAAATAGTAAAATCCGGAGATAAAAGCAATCAGAAGAAGGGCCTATTATAGAAATTGTTCTTTGATTGAGTTCTAAAAAACCTTTTAGGTATGAACATGAAGTCTAAAGAAAAACAGAGAGGAGGGGTCCCAGTCAAAGTCAAAAAGTCACAAGTCCCTTATATATGCATCTAAGCATCAGCTCTTGAGACAGCATTTGAGTATGGTGTTTAAATTTTTGACATTTCCATGCCCTGGGAGGTAGCAAATGCAAAAAGCCACTTAAAGTAGCTTTCAGCAGAGAAGACTGAAGAGAGATATAACTTCCAAGAAAATCCTAAAATGAGAAACATTTAATCTAAATCCTAAAAATTATCGCAATTGTTCACTCTAGCATCCTAACCACATGCTTACAATTACAATTTCACCAAATTTAAAATTTTAGTTTAATCTGAGTTATTTCTAAATGAACCAATTAGATTAGCCTACAGTTTTTAGACAAACATCCAGGCCAGCGGCAAAGACGCAGGAACAGACATGGCGCAGAAACACATACAAATAAAAAATCTAAAGACAGTAATAAAAATGACCCCATCCCCAATTCATGAGGATCGACAAGCCCAATTCAAACAATATGGTGAGCTTACCGGATCATAATTTTCTTAAAAAAAAAAATATTAAAAAAAGGTAGCTTTTAAGTCGAAATAGCCCTAGAATCCTAGATGATATAGGGGTTGGATCATTAGGACTGTTGCTTACCGGTAATTGTAAAATGAGAAAGGGGACATATCAATGGGAGCAATCACTCACCTATGTCTCAATTGTAATAGCTGCAGTAATAATATGAACGTTGTGGCACAGCAGAAGAAGCCTAACCACTTGTAAATTTACACAGTAAACACCTAAAACTCAATCACCAGTCCATTTCTTTGTTAGAATTAGATTCATATGGGATTTTGGATACTACAAGGACCATGAAAAATCTACAGACCACTACAAGCCTGTGCAGGAAAGAACAATACTCCCTCCATCCCTAAATTAGATGCCTACTTTCCTTTTGGGGGGTTTCAGAAATTAGATGCGTATTTCTATTTTAAGAACGTACATTTTGACAATAATCCCCCTTTTTGATGAGTTGTCGTCAATTTTCTTTTATTTATTTTGTACTTTTGACATCATTTTCAAATACTTTCTCTCTCTGTCTCTTCAATAATTACCAACTACTTTTATTTCTCTCTATCTCTCTCTAACCCCACATGCACTTTGTACTTTCCAATCATGGTTTTTAAGGAATCTCTAAGTTCCTTAATTCCCGCGTAATTTTAGAAGTAGGCTAGAAGGGACAGAGGGAATACTTTTTTCCACTTCAGGAAATTCAATGTTTTATTCTGCCACAAATGAAAATGCTCTCACAGTAAAGAAGGCTAAAAGATATAAGTGGGTGGAGAAGTGCAAAAGTTGGTCTGGACAATGCTGAAGCATAGTACTAACACTTTAAGATGAGGTACCTCTCTTCTACGTAAATATGGAAGACTATGGGTAACTAACTTGTTTTCATAAACAACAGCCTACAGTAAGCTTAGCTCATGATACTCATCTATTCTATATCACTGCTTCCACAATCTGACAACATCTTTTCTAATGTGCTCCCGCAAAAGATTTGAATCCTTATGCAGCTATATAGATGATTGTCTAAATTTAATGAATAAGCTGTCTCACCATTTAAAACAGAGCGCCATAAATCCAACTGATCAGACTGTGACATGTTCATTACATTCTTGCAGTTTCCATTAATTATGTAGGCAGCCTGAAAAGACAGACAGACATCAATTATATGATGTACTAACAGAAATCAAGCTTAACTACAATGAAATTCCAACTGTAGAGGTAGAAACAGAAAACAGAAGGTGTTGCCAATCTAAAGTCTAAACCTGGAGAGTGAATTTACAATAAGTACACAATACCTGTGAGCTTTTCAGTCAGTAAGATTAAAAATCTTAGGTTGGCATATTACAAAAACCTTGAAATTAACATTATTACACTTAAGCACCAATGAATCAAGGATTTCAATCACATAGCTATTGCCTTGTCAAGTTGTCATGCAAGAGCCAGCTAGGCAAAGACATAATACTTCATTCTTTTATAATTGCAATAACTGGAGTTTAACACATACATGCACAACTTTAACTATTAAAATCTTTAAGAAAATTAATAATTATAAAGATTTAATATTATGAAAATAAACATTAAGATTAATCTAACAAGACCCCACAAGATTGTATTTTCTCTTACAAAGATATCACAATATAAAGTCATATGATTGTATGTGAATAGTGTCAAAATCCAATGTGTTTTTAATTTTTTATAATAAAAGAACGGGGAAGTATATTTTTGCCATATGCAAGGCTGCTGAACATCTCTCAATTCAGTGTCCAAGAGGATACATGGTTCCTGCAGATTATTTCATACATTTGAAAAGAAATAAGATATGACTTGTAAATGGAAGAGACAATTCATTATCAGAGAAGGTTATGTTTGATATGCCTTTGTTCAATAATTTCATAGGTATATGTTGGACCAGATGGAACTTGTTGAACCACTAGGATAACACATGGTAGAGGTCATCAAGCTTTATTGACTTGCATTGGTGACAGATAAGATCGTGAGCACAACTAGTGGAAGTGGAGAAGGGAGCATTAATAAGATAGCACAAGTACACTGCAAATGATACCAGCACGTGACAGTCAACATGCATTATTTCCAATAAACAAGCACAAGTGACAATAACAGAAGATGACCTTCACAAGGATACATGTACAGAGAATATACATGTCTTATAGCCGCTTAATGTAGTTTTTGTACATGCAACTTACCTCTTTCAGAGAATTGATGAAGCTCCACTTAACAGCATCTTCACCTTCACAAGGAGTTAGTGTATTACTTGGATAACCTCTAAAATGAACCTGTATATAGTACATAAAGTTAAATACAAAGTAAAGAAGTGATTCACTACAATGCATAAAAGGTACACGACATTACTTAGTAGGCATTCCATTTGAACATATACAGAAAATAACCTAATAAGGTAGAAAAACATGTGATTGATAAGGACTCTTTGTTAAAAAAGCTAAATCCAGGCCATAAGCAAAACTAATGTCATCAACATGCCGTCATAAAGACATAAACTCATAAGTCATCATTTAACCTCTTTACAATTTTTTCCCTGAAGCATATAGCCACAGACTTAACATTTCCATAAGTTACTGGAAGACAATAAATCCTTACAAAAAATGCTCGAGATGACAGCAGACAAGTGTAGAATATGAACCATACAATTCATCAGTTAATATATGAAATGTTTAAGACACGATAACGACCAAAATGCAACTTATGCTTCCCTTATTGAAAATCTCACATATAAATTCCTTGATTTCCAACTGATACACTTAAGCATTGTACATACTAAATACAGCCAAAATTAACAAATAACGTGACATGTTCAATTGCATTCATAATTTTAAGAAGATCAACCAGCACTTATACCGTAAGATTCCAAGGTCTCTCAGGCTCCGCACACAAAAGATCGAAAAGAACGCCCGTTGGTATATACCTGTACAAGAAACACAACCATGGTGAAAAATCCAAATTTAATATAGAAAGATGAATACAGGAAAAGATGATTTCTGAATGCCCCCTATGTACAAATATAGGTCATAAATGCCCTAAAAATGTTTAGACTCCAGAAAATTCGATCAATGAATATAGTCACTGCAAAAACAAGGGGGACAGTGTAGCCCACAACTATATACCAGTTGACTCGACATCTCATACTGATCTTGGTAGGGTGTACCTTATGTGAGTTATGACATACATCACTGCGAATACAGGCTAGGGTGTCAGATATGCTAGTCTCATGGTATACTGATAGCAAAACATGGGAACATATACAGCAATGAAAAATTCCAAGGATATGAGAAAGCACATCACTTTTAACATTGACAATTTGATAATTAAGGCGCACAAGGGAGAAGTCATGTTTCACATTTTCACAAACTCCCTAACTAATTAACACTCATTAGAAGCATTTAATATTGGATACTCCAGTTTTTAGTAAAGTATTCGGTTATGCTTGAATGATGATATGCAGCTACAGTGAAGTAGTGAACTACCCTCAACCCATATCAGGTGTTTTATAAATTACTATACCTCATATCTTAAGATGCTGCTGCATCTTTCATGTTTGGTAGCTTGATTATGATGACATTCATGTGCTCGCTCTAGCAATTTTTAAGCTGCACAAGTGCTGTGTCAACATGATTGTGTAATTTATTTACTAATATACAAAAGACTTAATTAAAGTTGAGGTATGTATTTTTTTTATTTGAGCCATAATGTAGAAAATTAATTAATAACTCATGAGTTGTTGACTTGTAGAGACTAGAGATAGCTGAAACTCTTAAGCTGGTTGACAGTTCAAGAATTTAGATTTATCCATTTCTTGCAGTTGTTTGAGTGGATTAGGGGTGCTATTTTTGCCAATCATAACATTGTTTAAAACATCTCCTTCAGGAATAAAACAAAGAAGCAGGGTATAAGAAAACATGTAAAACAGATCCATCAGAGCTTGAATTCATGAGTATAATGATTATGCTATTCAATGTATAAATCAAGCATTTACAGCAAGACCAGAACTTTACCATTTCAGGGGCAATCCTTTGTACTCAAACCAAATTGTATCTTCCCCTGGAGGAAGTGAGTTGCTGAAGAGGGGTTTAATTTGAGATGCTAGCAGTGGAAGATAACCTATTCGTGGCGCTAACAACTGTAATACCAAAAACCAGCATACATCAATAGTCCCTTCACACACACACACACACACACACACCCAAAAAAAAAAAAAAAAAAGACACACAAAACAAAAGGAAATCTGCTGTTATGTGTAAAACAAAGAGAGCCCTGTTAAGGAAAATAAAAGAAAATAAAAATAAATAAATAAATAAAAAAGAAAAAAGAAATAGCTCTTGGAAGCTCACTCCATAAGAAAAAGAAAAATTACAAGGAATATAATTTGTGAATTTTGACACATCAAACATTCCCTTGACTATACACACTCTGACACTAACTCGGTCACTCTATCTCAATATAGCCTCACTTTTAATTACTGTGGAATCTAACATATGGGAGATGGAAAAAGAAATATTTTCACCACAAAATAGCAAGACATTGATCTTTGTAAGGAAGAAGCAAATGGTGGGAATAAAACATACTTTTTCTCCATTGATCCTATTTCCTTCCTTGAGTCCTCAAATTCAAATAAAATTCTAATTTCATAATAAGCTCCAGGACACTGATCTTAATTTTCATTGCTTTCCCATTTCAAAATCTAAAGAATATTCTCCACGTGATACCTAAAGGTAACCATATCACATGCAAAAGGCATACTACATTCTCATCTTTTTGCAGTTGCAACATATCCTTACCTTAAATTAATTAAACAAATAAACATAGAGTCCTAGAATTTGATGATATTAAGTCATTGCTACTCTTCTTGTGATTGTGATGATACCATTATCAGAATTTGACACACTCCCTTTTCCTGTCATTCATCACGATCCTCCATTCTCCAGCACTCAATCTACGAGGAAAGTAACTGTTTTTCCAGAACATCCTTAAAAAGTAGATGTCGGCACTATTTCCATAAGAGTAAATATTCATTTAATTATCTGTCATTGGACATTAACTTGAGGGAATTATATACACCAATAAATCTTCCTGCGTGGGTTGCAACCCCAAAGGACAGCCTCTCCTATAATCTTAGAGTGATCAACTAGCTTAGTTGGTTAAGTCTTGAGGGGTTGTATAAAAGACATGGTAACAAATCCAATCTACATCATTGCCCTTATGGCTCTCTCTCTCTCTCTCTCTCTCTCTACACACACACACACACACACACAAATAAATAAATAAATAAAATCAGTATCTGGAGCTCTTTCTAAGGTTGATCGCATATACTAAAAACTTTATTACTTCACACATGAAGCCTTAGTTACTTCACAAAACAAGCATCAATGCTCTTGAGACCAAATTAACATCTTATTATAGAAAAGACCAAATTAAGATTAGTTGAGCACCTAGTCACACCTAAGAATAACTTACAGCACAAACTAGCATTCAAAAACTTGATGGTTCAATGCCTGTCATTCATTCCATGGCAAAATTCACTTCTTACCAACAGAACTACAACTCCTATGAGGTAGCACCAGCATCAATTTTCTACTTAGGCTATGAAGTATGAAAATTAAGAACAAGGAGGCAGCATAAATCAATTGAAAACTAGGTAGTCAGCAGGCCAAGGTGGAGCAAGTAGTGGTGTCATGCTCAGAGTGTGGTTAGCAGCAAATGGAGGAATTAAATGCCCTATTTGGGAGTACATTACTGCTCGATCACGAGATAAGAAAGCCTATTAAACCCTTTCGGACACAATCGACATAGTAGTTTGCCTCCTAAAGTAGCGCCACAACTGTAAATTATGATTACCCCTAAATGATTATCCTCACTCCAAGCATTACCTTACAAAGTAAGAAACAGTTTTAAGTCTTTATTCCAGTCGACACCACAACATACAATCACCAACTGAAAATGCCCAGCCAACCATAATTGGCAACAACATCGATTTGTTTTGCACAAATTAGTATCAACAATTCTAGCATAGACCAAACAAGCAACAAATTGCATTAATATATTTTACAACAAAACCAAGATTCAAATTACAATCAAACTAACAACTAGAATTATAATAAACCCAACAAGAACATAACTTGGAATTAATTCATATGAATAAAATTGCAACAAGAAAACCCAAATTCATGCTACAAAGAAAAAACCCAGAAGAAATTAGAAGTGAAAAATGAAAGAAACGAAGAAGAATGCAAACCAGAACTGGGGGAGGAGGAGGAAGAGTGGCGACTTCAGAATCATGGAGATGAATTTGAAGGGGTATTGCTCCTTTCCAAACGTACTTGAGTGCTTCTGTTCCTTCGTTACCCATCTCTCTGTTTGACTCAATTACGGAAATTCTCAATTGCCCCAATTATACCGCAAACACGGCAATATTGCGATTGATCTGCCGTTGAGAAAATGAAAATTATAAAATTGCTTATGATCGGGGAAGAACTACGGGTTCATGCACTCGTTTTAGTGACGGTTCAATTAACAATGTGCGTGCAATCTATTTGAGATAACGGGTCAGGTTCCGTTTAGATTTCAGGTTAAATAAAAAAATTTTGTAACTCAAAATATGATAAATGGGTTAAATCGGGTTGAGTTTGGGTTGGGTTCTCTCTCAGCAACCACATCAAGTTTGGGTCGGGTTAGGTTAAGAATTGACAACTCTAACTTATGTATAATGTGTGTGTGTCTCACTATTTGAAAGAACATAGGTGAAGTATTAAGAACATTTTATTTGGCTCGAATGAATCATAAGGGCGATACGGCATTACATAATACAAATGAAAAGAGATTTGAATCTCTGACATATTGTATATTTGTACGCATGACCTTAGTTTGAACCAGTAGCAAATTACAAATGGGAGTGAAAAAATTTGAATGTGACCTATCAGTCTTAACAACTAGTAAATTACAAATGGGAGGAGAGGGAATCTTAACATGTGACCTCACTCTTAACCACTAACAAATTACAAGGGGGTGAGGAGATTTGAACATGTAATTTATCGTACATAGACCCTCAATCTTAACTACTAAAACAAGAGTTGAATGGTAAAGTATTAACAACATGAATCAAATAGCACACTCCCATCTTGTTTACTGACATTGTAGAAGTTGTTGGAAATTCAAGGAATTTATCTAGACAATTTGATCAATGCTCGATTGGGCAAGCATACTTGATAAACCGGACATAGCCATGTTGTCTTTGGAGCATTTCATGCACCTCCGAACGATTTCCAACTTTTTTACATTCATAAGTAAGAGATATGAGGGAATTTTTTTTTTTTTTTAAAGACAATAGGTTTAATATTTTATTTGAAAATAAGATATGCGAAAGGGGAAAAAAAATACCCGAGTACAAAAAAAAAAAAAAAGTAGTAGAATTAAACCTATTCATTTCACCTTATTTTTTCAAATTGAAATTATTTTTACTTAAATTAATTATTCTTTGATTTTTTTTTTTTACTAATTCTCTATTATATATCTTTTTTAAACTTAATGATTTTTATTGAATTGAAATTGTTTATTTTATTTTTACTAAACTAACATTCTTTTTTAGTGAATACTCCATATTATTATTTTTAACGTGAACATGACCGAGCCTAAGCGAGGAGCATGAGATCATAGAGATATAACATAAAAATAGACTAGTTTGCCAAAATTGAAAGTACAACACTTAAAAAAACACACAAATGTTTAAAATAATCGAATGTATATTAAACATTGTACATCCACTAAGTTGTCTATACTGTCAAGGATTAACCCAAACGAAATAAAATTACCTTGATATAAATAAAAATTATGCTTGTATATACTTTATTGACATAGTTCATTTATGTAAGTGAGAAAAAAAAAATTCATACACTGATAGTGAATAAATACTTTTATAAAAGCTATCACATTGCCCTTTTTCATTAAAAACAATCAAGTGAGACCGAGTTTATTTCACCTTCACATTATTACTTATTTCAAATCAGAAAAAATAAGTTTAACAAATCATATAAAAAAATGAATTCTAAGGGGTTGTTCTAAATTACAGAATTGAGCTGAGCTGAAATGAATTGTTTATGATAAGGAAATTAGGAGCTGAACTAATTAAACTGAACTGAAATTAAACTGAAGAGAATATACCCTTAATATACTTTATTGTTTAATGAGCGATTTTTTTTATCGCTAAGTATAAATTTCGTAATGAAAAAAATTATAAAAATTACAAAACCATATTTGATGTGTCTTCTTTAACTTAGCACAGGTCAAAGTTTGATCAAATAAGAGAATCATATCTAATTAAAATAAAAAATGCAAATTTTTATAAGGATGGCCAAACCGTGTAGTCGGGGTTACTTTAGTGGTGATCATTGGGCGAGCCGGGTCGGGTCGAAATATAAAAATTTGTCCACTTTTCGAGCCGAGTTGGGCCAAGCTTCGGGCCAAAATCTATGTGCCCAAACCCGCCCAAACTAGCCGGGTTGTGCAAGGTTTTCGGGCCATTTTCACGCTGAAAAAAAAAACTAAAATTGTATAAAATTACTTTTTCAAACCCGCTCAAAAAATTTTAAAATCCGGCCATACCTGGGTTACTTATTCAAGGGTTACTTATTCTGGGAATACTCAGTCTGAGGTTATTCGGTCGATCGGGGTTACTCTCACACAGAAAACTCGCTAACCACTAAGTAACCTTAGAATAAGTAACCCCAACCACATGGTGTGACCAGCTACACAAAAAAGCACAAAAAAAAAAATTATAAGTTCAAATTAGATTAGAAACTAAATTGAGATGAACTTTTTTTTTTTTGAAACAAAATTAAGATGAACTTAATAGAGCCTAAATAATTAATTTATACCAAATTGATTCCTTATTTGATAAAAAAACACATGTACAATGCCTATAGTATATGAGTATTATTGTAAACCGAGTGTATATAAAACTCATACGGGGTATCCGATTCTAGATCAAAGTTGAACCGACCCATACTCTCATAGAGGCCTAAGCCCAATAAAACTCTAATTCCATCCAATCCCAATTTACGCAGCTAGTCTACTCCGCACACCAAAACCCTAATTTCAGCAGACGAACAAACAGAAGCAGAACAGAAAAGGAAAGAGAAAAAGGGCGAATTCGAAGAAGAACAACAACTGCACTCAGCCACCATGACGGTGGAAATTGATACAATGGCAGCTCGTCTCAACGTCGATCTCTCCCAAATCGACTGGGACAATGTTCGTCTTCCTCCCGGCGAAGATTTCGGCATCATAAGGTTGTTTAATTTCTTCTTTTTGGGTGTAAAGATTCTTCCTTTAATCAGTTTTTTGAATTCGATTTCAGTAATTTTTGAGTTTTGAATTTGGAGCAGTGATGATGAAGATCTTAGAGAAGAAGAAAACTCAGATTTCGACATTGGGTTTTCAAACATTATTGTGGTTGATCATCTTCCGCAAGTTCCCAAGGAAAAATTCGATAAATTGGAAAGTGTTATTCGTAAAATTTACAGTCAAATTGGTGTGATTAAGGATGATGGGTTTTGGATGCCGGTTGATCCTTCAACTGGGAAAACCCTAGGTTATTGCTTCATTGAGTTTAATACACCTCAGGTTAATGTTTTTAATTTTATTTTTCTCTTTAATTTGGTTGTAATTGATGAAATTTGGTCGATGATGGTGTTATTTGGGATTTTCTATGATAGGAAGCTGAACTTGCGAAGGAGAAGACTCATGGGTATAAATTGGATAAGTCTCATATCTTTGCTGTTAATTTGTTTGATGAAATTGAGAAGTTTATGAATGTTCCTGATGAGTGGGCTCCCCCCGAAACGAAGCCGTATACTCCTACGGTAAATTTGATTACTTTTGAAATTGATTTCGGGTTTATGTATTCAATTTGTAGGGTAATTTAGTTCTTTAAACTATTAGTGGATTGATTTGCTAGTGAATTTTTTGGTATTAAATTATACTCGTTAATGAATATGGTGGCCGAATACATAATCAACTGAGTTCAATATGAGGGATATAATACTGTTTACTAATGAGGAATTCAGATAGCTCTTTGAAAGATATGACAAGCAAAATTTTAATAGCTGTTTTTGGTAAATGTAGAACGATTGCTTAATGCTTAATCCCGCATTACCTGTACGAATAAAAGAATTGTTGTTTTGGAGAATTGGGGGTGAAAAGTTTGATAATTGTCTCAAATTTTTTCAGAGATTCTTGTATATAGACATTTATTTGTTGCCTACCTTTTGAGATGTTGTTTGTCTTCCTTTTTTTCGTGTCTGTTTGTGTTTTCATGCTAAACAGTTTTCAGTTCTCTTCCTCTATCTCTTTTATTGTACCTTGGGTAGCTGGGTATTGGTCTTGTTCATCTTGGGTACTCCCTCCGTCCCTAAATTACATTCCTCCTTTGTATTTTGGGTATTCCAAAATTACATTCTACCTTTCTATTTTTAGTAAGTTTTTTTTCTAAATATCCCAAATACACTCTCTTTTTCAGTTGTACTTTTAATGTATAATTAATGTATTTACATTCCACTTTTAATGTTTGGTTGGCTAATGTACTTTTCCAGCCTTTAATTTTTCAGAATCTTTGTGCCAAATTACAATGAATATGATTGGTTAAAAATTTTCAATTAGAAGCATGTGATTGATCCTTTTTTTTTTCAAAGGATTGATGACATGTCATGAGTAATCACTAATTTATCTTTGTTTTACTCAAAAACATTATTTAATGTTTTGTACTTCCCATTGCATTATCTAATTATTGTTATTTGTCTTATTTTTTCCTCCTTAATTCCCGTGTAAATTTCCAAACAGGAATGTAATTTAGGGACGGAGGGAGTACTCTTTAGTCTTTACACTGCTTCCTTAGAATGCCAAACTTCTAATAAGTTGTTGTGATGCATTCTGGTGGCTCTCAGACTAATTATTTGGAACGAAGTGAGTTACTCATGTGCTCCACTTTTATGCTTACTCTGCTTCCATGACCTTGCAGGAAAACCTACATCATTGGCTCACTGATTCGAAAGCTCGTGATCAGTTTGTTATTCGTGCTGGCCAAGATACTGAGGTCTTATGGAACGATGCTAGACACATGAAGCCTGATCCCGTTTATAAGCGACCTGTATGTTTTATTAAACTTTTTCTTCCTGTTCCTCTATACAAATTGTATTTTCTTCCCTCTATTCGTTATGAAGCTAAAGTTTTTATCTTGACTTTCTTTCACTGACATATACATGTATGAGCTTTATTTTGATTTGTTTATTGAACATATTTGAAATTTCTTTTGTAATATATGCAGTGTTGGACCGAAGGTTTTGTTCAATGGTCACCTTTGGGAACTTATTTGGCTACTGTCCACCGTCAAGGAGCTGCTGTCTGGGGTGGGGCCTCATCTTTTAATCGCATACAACGTTATGCTCATAATATGGTTTGCTTCTAACCTATAGCTGTATCGTGCTTGAGGTTTTATAAATTGATTATTTTCCTACGGATTTTAATTTTTGATTCCTCTGTAGGTTAAATTTATTGACTTTTCTCCTGGAGAAAACTACCTCGTTACTTACAGCAGCCAGGAACCAAGCAACCCACGTGACACACATGTAGGTGTTTTTGCATTTTACCAAACCCTCTTTTTGCTTTACTATTAAGCTTTATTATGTTGAAACATGGATGTTACTGACCTAACTTTGTGCATGTGTCAGAGGGTTGTAATCAATATCTTTGATGTAAGAACGGGAAAGGTGAGGAGAGACTTCAAAGGAAGTGCTGATGAGTTTGCAGTTGGTGGAACTGGTGGTTTGACTGGGGTCAATTGGCCTATATTCAAGTAATGACCTTTGACTTCAATGTGAATCCAGTGTACATCATTTTATATTTTCTTATATGGATGTTTCTTTTGTGTGTTCAGATGGGCTGGTGGCAGGGATGACAAATATTTTGCCAGAATTGGGAAGAATGTTGTGTCTGTGTATGAAACTGAGACATTTAGTCTAATAGACAAGAAGTCCATTAAAGTAGAAAATGTTATGGACTTCAGTTGGTCACCTACAGATCCGATTTTGGCACTTTTTGTTCCAGAGCTTGGAAACCAACCAGCTAAGGTAAGTCCCATGTTTTTATCTGCTTCCGTTGCCTTGTATAAATTGGTGTCCGTGTGAAGGGGAATAGGCAGTATTGGGTAGCTTAAGATGTATTATTAGCTTGTTGTTTAGGCAGTTGTCATCTACTAATGTTTCTGTTTTCTGCAGGTGTGTCTGTATCAGATACCTAGCAAAGTGGAAATCAGACAGAAGAATCTTTTTAGTGTCAGTGATTGCAAAATGTATTGGCAAAGCAATGGAGAGTACCTAGCTGTTAAAGTTGACAGGTATACAAAAACCAAGAAAAGCACATATACTGGCTTTGAGCTTTTTCGGATCAAGGAACGGGACATACCTATTGAAGTCCTGGAGCTTGAAAATAAGAATGATAAAATCATTGCGTTTGCATGGGAGCCCAAAGGCCATAGATTTGCTGTAATCCACGGTGATAATCCTAGACCCGATGTAAGTTTTTACTCAATGAAGACCGCTCACCACACAAGCCGAGTTTCTAAGCTGACAACTCTTAAAAGCAAGCAAGCAAATGCTCTTTACTGGTCACCTAGTGGTCGATATATCATATTAGCAGGGTTGAAGGGGTTCAATGGGCAGCTTGAATTTTTCAATGTTGATGAGCTTGAAACTATGGCAACAACTGAGCATTTCATGTGTACAGACGTTGAGTGGGATCCTACTGGAAGGTAAAAATTGTTAATCTGAGTTTTTTTAACTAGCAATAATAATATATCTAGCATTTCTTTACTTTTATCTGAGGCTTTGTTCCATGCATTATTTAAATTTTTCTTAAATGTTTGCTAGGTATGTTGCAACTGTTGTTACATCAGTTCATGAGATGGAAAATGGCTTTCATATATGGTCGTTCAATGGGAAACTGCTTTACAGAATACCAAAGGACCATTTCTTCCAGGTAAGATAACTACTGAATATTACAAAGCTTGAGTAACTTACTTCAGATGACAGATTGACTTCTGAAATTTAGACAGTTGGGAAAATTAGGATGCCTCGTCTATAGGCTGTGAATACTTGGTTGACACTTTTGAATTGATTTAGTGATATTTGGTATTGAATTGTGATGTGTTCATGATAGACGTGTGAGTTGTTTGGTTGTCTCCTGTCTTCTGTGACATTGTCAACTTTGCTTATTATTAACTAGACTCCAAAATTAAGATGCTCTTGTAGGTTGTGTATGTCAATATTGCATGGTTATATTGCTTTCGTCTCTTTGGCCCCAAATATGATTTGGAAGTTTTGTTATTATTGCAAGTGCTGTCTTGATGCTTCTTTGAATCGAATATATGATTTTAGTCTTGTAGTTTTGACTGGTTTGTAGAAATTCGAGTATAGTCAGATTACACTACAAGTCTTTTTTAATTATTAATATTGATTATGTTTAAATCTTTGAACATACTATCAATTTAATAGAGGGTTTGGTAGTGGATGAACAATAAGACTTCTGTGAAGTTTATTTCAGTGATAAGATGTACTTGTATATTCTTAATTATGAGATATTGGGACTATTTAGTTTTATTTCTAATTAATTTTCTTTCTCAGTTTATATGGCGCCCCAGACCACTGTCCTTGTTGACTCCAGAAAAGGAGGAGGAAATTTCAAAGAACCTGAAGAAGTACAGCAAGAAATATGAAGCAGAAGACCAAGATGTGACCATGCTGTTGAGTGAACAAGATCGTGAGAAGAGGAGGTTGTTGAAGGAAGAATGGGAATCATGGGTTAACAAATGGAAGAAATACCATGAAGAAGAGAAATTGGCGAGAGAAAAGCTTAGAGACGGTGAAGTCAGTGATGATGAAGAAGAGGAATACGAAGCTAAGGAAGTTGAATATGAAGAGGTTGTGGGTGTTGAAGAAGAAATCGTTGATTAATTGCACAGGGCGTACGACCACATCAATTTTTTCATCTGCTTCACCATAACTTGAAGGCGCAACTTGCTTACTGCTGAGAGGACAACTTTTGGCAGATAGTTTTGTTTTTTTTTTTTTTTTTTGTTTAATTAATATGTTCGTTGTATGGATCAGTAGAGTAGGCCTTTATTTGGCATTTGTTTGTCAAATATGTCAATCCTATTTATGTGCAAGAGTTTTAAGATTTATTGAGATAATTTTACTCCTTGTAAGGCGTATTACTGAAACACAATATTTTGGGGTTTTTAGTGCTAATCTTTCTGATTTTGTCATGTGTTGCTAAAGTTTTGTTGGAAAATTAATCGTTTTCCAATGTCCATGGTGTTTGAATGATTTTGGCAAGGGTTGGTTATAGTATGTCTGGCTTCAGAATTGATAAATGTTGGAGAAGCTCCTAAAATACTTCTGCTGTCTTTTGTACAAGGTATCAAGTCTAACCATTCATGCATTTTTCGTTTTTCTTTATTTGACTACTTTTTTGGTGTTTAGAGAGCCACAAAGATGGATGATGAGAATTGATCCCAAAATCTCTTGGAACTAGGAGGGGAGTTCTAACCACTTGAGCTATCCCTCACTCTTCTTTATTTGACTATTTGCTTGAGAATAAACAAACGTCTAAGCTAGGGGGAGTCGGATAAGTGTTTTTTTTTTTTTCTTTTTGACACAAAGAACTTTGTAAATAAAGAACAAAGACATATTACAACCTAATAGCTAAATAAAAACAAACTAAAATCAAACTAAACATACCTCCTAAACTCTAGCCTCCATTGTCAATTTCGAAGGGACTCTCATCAGATTTCACCGGTGGAAAGCCCCGATCTTTATTTTCGTTTAAGTTTTTTGTTTCTTAGTTTTCAATAATGTCTCCCTCGAAAGAAAGAGTTTATCTCATTCGAAAGACAAGGTTTATTCGATCTCCTTCGATAGACAAGGTTTTTTCGGACTCCTTTGAAAGACAAGGTTTTATTTGTGTTTAATTTGGTCTCCGGTTGTGCGGGGCTACGATTGATTATGGATCGGATTCGGGTTACGGAATCAGCACAAGAATTTACGTTCTCCCAAAATTGCGAAGCGGCGACGAATCCAATCAAAAAGTTGTATGAGACAATGAATCGAGAAAGTGCCGAATTATTATATTCACGTATTTTGATTCTTAGCCCTTCCTTGATTAATTCTTTTTTTATTTTGTTAAATTCGTTTACATTATTGTTAATTGTCGATTTTAGATGACATATGACTTTAATTAATGAAATTTAGTGTCCTTTGAGACTTCTTTCAAAAAAAAAGAAAAAAAAAATCAAACTAAACATACAAACAACAAAATAACATCTTGTGGAGGAAGAACAAAGCATATGATAAAACCAGAAAAGCCTCGCACCATAACATTTACTCAGAGACAATCTAAAGAATCAACCAAAACCTTACTGTGACTGAGAGTTGCCAGATGGACCAAAAACCTCAAGATGGACTTTGAGCGCTGTAGGCGTCATTCAAAGCGCGCCTACCTAAGCATGTTGAAAATATGCTTGGCAACCATATAAAGTGGGAATTAACATTATACGATTAGAGATAAGACAAGTAAGGAGCCGCCAACAAGTTTTAAAGAATTCATAAACCGTTCACGGATTATTTAAGGCAACCACGAATAAGGGACAACAATAGTCAATAACAATTGATCCGTGAAAGTTACACATTCATAATCCATGAGTTTACTAACTCCATAGGGTTTAGAACCACGAAAGGAGGACCGGGGATGATGGTGAAGTGAGTCAAGGAGTCACATCCGCCTAATTGGCCTCTACTTTATTCTTATAGTGAAAAGTAATTCCTGCTATTTCAAAGGCACATAATACAAATATTCAATTTTCTCAAAACTAGATTAGAGTATAAGTTGGTTGAATATTATTGCACATATATAATTCTAAATATTGTGATCACTTGAATGAACAAAAAGATTAAAAAGGAACCTAAACTGATTGTCCAAATTATCTTATTAGTCGTTATATTTAATTACATATTCCCTTGAACATGCAATATGGTGATCAATAACATAATAAAATCATCATTAACATTGGAAACAATTTAACCATAATATCTTTAGCCAAATCAAATCATAATAATAAACCTAATCATGATACCAGCAATAAAAATAAGAGTAATTAAGTAAATAAAATTACTCACGTTCCATGCTTTTTTAAATTGCTACATCATGAATAGACATTAGTAACGTCTAGGAAAATAAATAATAAAATGAAAATTAATTCAAATGAAAGTAAAGTTGATTTGGGGCCAAACCCTAAAAGAGTTCTACCTTTCATGCCTTGGTTTAAGTGTAAAACTCCGAGTAAAGAACGGACTCCAGGGAGTGCTTTGAGGAGGAATGTGAGAGATGGGAAGGCAAGTATTTAGCTAAAGTATAAGAGAGAAATAGAGAATTATTCGGTGCCCCGAGACTATGAAATCAGCCTCGTATTTATAGAGGAAATGTGAGGGGTGAGGTTTGAAGACCTGGAAACAAGGTGCGCAACAGAATAAACTGTTTTGGCACATTATATTCTTCTGGCACGACAGATATGACGCTACGCGACAATACATTTTATTACTATAAAATGTCAAAACACGTAAAAAGATAAAACCAGATCTAAGAAATTGTCGTGACACAACATGTTTGTCGTGGCACGACAATGTCTACCCGCATACAGTGCAAGAAAATAGAGGAATTTGCTTACCCTAAAGCCTAAACATTAAAGATGGGAGCCTCCTTCAAGATTTAGATTTACAGCGCGCGATGATTGACTCTGGCATCACCAACACCAACAATGGGATGATGGTAACTGAATGAATACTCAAATCATCCCTCAACCTAAAAGCAATAGTAGGTAAAGCAAACAAACCTCTTCTCGCAAACCACCCTCCTCTTGCAAACTCCAAATGCCGGCAAAACTCTTCACTTGTACAATTAACTCCACCTTCTAGAAAACAAAACACAGGATTCTACGCACCCAAACTACCGAGGGAAAACACACATCCAATCCTAAAGCTCCCCTTCACCCAAAGACTTCTTATTCCCAAGGAAACATAGTCCAATTCCGAAAAGGAAACTAATAGGACCACCAACTCAACAAGCCAGGCACTGCCTAAACTTACATCCCCTAAATCCAAGGGGAACCCTATCCAACCAAACTCAACGAACAACAACACTTCGAAAGCTTCCATAACTAGAACTACCCAATGAAACTCCAACTCATGAACAAGCAGAGCAAGAGTATGGTATTGTTGAAATACACAAACTCAATTTATGAGGTAGCTTCACTACCACAAAAAGAAGAAAAAGTAACTATAGGCGTCGTTCGAAGTGCGCCTACGTTAAAGCATGTTGTGAATATGCTTGGCACTCATAGGAAGTGGAAATTGACATATACGATTAGGGATAAGGAAAGTAGGGAGCCGCCAACAAGTTTTTAAGGAACTTGTAAACCGTTCACGAATCATAAAAGACAACCACAATAAAGGGACAACGAAGGCAACAACGATTGACCTATGAAGGTTACTCCCCATTCATAATCCATGATATTACTAACTCCATATGGTTCGGAACCACGAAAGGAGGATCGGGGATGATGGTACGATGTGAGTCATGGAGTCACATTCGCCGGTATTGGCCTCTACTCGGTTCTTATAGTGAAAAGTGATCCCTGCAATCTCAAAGGCATGCAAACAAAGATTCAATTTGCTCTAAACTATTATTAAGCTAAATTGGTTGAATATTAATGCAACACATAATTATAAAATATTTGTGATCACTTGATTTAACAACAAGATTAAAAAGGAAACCTAAGCCGGTTGTCCAAATTATCTTATTAGACGTGATTTTCAATTACATATTCCCTTTAAACATGCAATATGGTGATCAATAAATATAATAAAATAAACATTAACATTGGAAGCAATTTAACCATAATAGCGTTAGTCAAATCAAATATAAAAACCAATCATGATGCTAGCAATATTAAAATAAAATAAGAGTAATTAAATTAATTAATTACTCACATTCCGCGCGTTCCTTTAAATTGCTACATCATGAATAAACTGTTAGTAACTTCAATTAAAATATAAATCAAATTGAAATAATTAAATTAAATAAAAAGTAGAGTTGATTTAGTCCAAACCCTCAGTTAATTCTACATTTTCACACCTTGGTTTTAAGTATAGAACTTTGGGTATTGTATGAACTCCTTGGAGTGCTTAAGGGAAGAATGATGTAATTAGGAATATAGGTTTAAGGCTTAGAATATAGGAGAGAGAATAGAATAATTTTTGGTGTAAAAGAGAGGAAGAGAGAAGGATTTGATGATCAAGCTTGTTGATGATTGGAAAAGGGGTGATATTACCTCTATTTATAGAGAAAAAAGAGAGGTCGAAAAAACAAGATAAGATCTGAATTAAATCGGAATAAAACTCGATAGACATCAGTCTTTGCGGTTTTTGTTTTTATCATATCTTTTGATCCAGAAATTGGAATAAGATGAATAAGATATCGTTGGAAAGATCTTGAAGTCTACCTTCTAACTCAATTAGAATCATATTAAAGTATTTTATAGAATAAAAGATATGGCCGAAATAGTGAGACGGTGTCAGTTTTGGATAGAGTTTGACATTTTATTCATATCTTTTTCGTTATAGCTCGGAATTGATATTATAATATATCATTGGAAAGATAATTCAAGGGCTATCCAACCATATAGAATTTGGATAAAAACTATGAGGCACGAAAATAATATCTGCCTATCTTTTAACGTCTTTCAATTCGGATAAAATTAGGATTTTCAAAAAGAAAAGTTTTATTCAATTTCAAACTCTTTAATCTTATCTTTTCAAAAAGGATAATCAGGATCTTTTAGAAACTTATAGAAGCTTCTAATTAATCCTAATTGGTTTAGGAATTTGATTAAATAATTTGAACCCTCCACATGATCATTGGGTCGTAGGTAAGGTGGGCTTATGTTCGGTTTGAGCTCAGTTTAATATTTTGGTCATAACTTATTCGTTACAACTCAAATTTGGGCTTATAACATATCGTTGGAAAGCTCTTTTAAAGCCCCATCCAACTATTTAATCATTGGACCCATATTATGGACCAAAATAAATTGGATTAAACGTTTTTATAAAAAGGACACGAAATGAATGATTTTAAAGGACACGAAATGAATTATTTTAGGTTTAAAGGAACGAAAAGAGGAAAATAAGTTATGATTTGGAAAAATGGGCTAGA